CCCCAAAACCCCAAAACCCCAAAACCCCAAAACCCCAATCCTAAAAGGAGAAAGCCAGATGTTATTTTGAGATATTCGGTACTAAGTTTCCTACAATCAGATCTGTGTGAGATGGTCTAAATTTAGTAGAAACTGAACATTTCGAAAATCTATGTTCCCTCAATTTCTTAACTTCTAATCCCAACTGTGAGTTTGACTTTAGAAATCATTTTTAGGATTTTTACGGGATATTTTGATATTCCCCTTGGAAATAATAGAGGTAAGATAATACATTAGAATTTGCAAGTTGCTAAATTTGATGTGCATTAAAGAAAAGATTATGCACGCTAAGGATTCATTATTCCTTAGTTCATTGATGTATCACAAGATGAGTGACAGCTTAGTAGTAATATATCCTGACTGGTTTAAACTACCTTTTGTAGGTAGATGATAATTTTTCGAAAAGAAAAGTTACAAATACTTGAAAATCCCTGAAGGAAAATTCAATTTCAATTCCATGTAAATGATTTACAGCTAGATAGAAAATAAAGCACATTAGATATTATCAAAGATATTATGAAGAAATTTATTATAAGAACATCTACTTTTGCTGTCTCTTCTTAGCTCTATTGAACCTCCATTTTGAAAACAGAGAGTATAAAGCATGACCTCCAAAAGCGATTCCAAACACAGCAACCACAAATATGAAAGATTCAATATTATTCCAAGGGAGTCTAGAATACAGAGGTCTTGGCCCAAATACAGTATAAAGGATATTCACAGGGAAATAAACGAGAAGAATTAGTATTGTCACTGTCTGTCTCTGATATAGTACCCATCCGTTACTAAAAAATTCAAAGAGGATGACTACTAGAGGTAAACTATGGTCTAGAATTCTTGAGCACTCTTTTGGGGAAATATCCTTGCCATACTCATAGATAGCAGTCCAGTACATTAGAGTGGTTACACTCTCCATGGCAAGGGTAAGGATCATGAAGATATGGTTATGCATCAGTATCCTTAGCTGTTTCTTATTCTCAAAGTCTACGCCCTTTTTGTGGTTGTACAAAGAAGTTGAAATTATCCATATCTCAGTATAAAGAGTCACATATAAACTCCAAGTTGTGAAATATAACTGATATCTAAAGAAAGTATTTACTCCATCATGGCCAGTCCAGATAAACCTGTAGATTGTATTGATAATTAAAAGAGTTGTTAAAATAGTTCTAAATGTCATCAGAAGCGTGAAACCGATTGTAGCTCGTTCATCAGGATTTATATACTCTTCAGTATTTGATCCCCAATACCATCAACTAAATCTTCTGCATCGCGATTGTTGGGGTGCATTAAGCTCTTCGGGGTTTTTTGAACTCTCGAGGTTTGATTCTTGTTCTTGACTCTTGCTCATTTTGTTATAAAAATTATATGTAAAATGCCAAATTTTACATTTAAAATGGGGTTTTGGGGTTTTGGGGTTTTGGGGTTTTGGGG